CGTATGCAGCATGAAAAGAAGACATGTTCTACTTTGCTAAACTTTTAAAACATACAAAAACTAGCTAATACTCAATAATTGAGTTTACATTATAGACAGAAAAAAAGGACTGGAAAGGAAAATGAACATGAAGCAGGCAAATGTCATACAATTTTTTTGTACCTCATGCTTGTGAGAATATTTTTTCTGGTTTTGTGAGAATATGTTTTCTGGTTTTGCAATAGACGATGCGTTATTTTATTTTTCTTTAACTCAAAAAGGTCAAATGGAAACTTAAAAAAGAACCATAAAGCATAACAACAATGTTCCTTACTGGTCCTTTTTCTCTAAACTGGGCATTTGGAGCTTGTTTTGTGACACAGCAAGTATTTTGAAGGCAGACTTTGTTCTTTCTGATGGACAGAGTACTTCTGAAAACCTTCCATCTTCAAATTCCCTTTAAAAACTTAATGAAAGAAACATTTCTGACATTTGTTTTTCTAAGACTTTTTTTTTTTTTTCATCTTGTGTCGTAGCAGAGATTTTAGAATACAGATAGTTTTTCTTCCTGAAGTTTTGTGCTCAGCACGCATCTGGAATGTTGAAATAATAATAATAATAAAAAGATGAATGTGATACTAGCAACTATTTCTAAGAAACAAACAAAATTCCTCCTTTTTTTTACTCCACAGCAAAACCCAACATGCTTTGTTTTGGTATATGGAAAGTATATACACCTTACCAGTCTCCCATTACAAAAACTAAAATGAATGCCTATGTTAGCATGACTGAAATGAGAACACGGACAAATTCACGTAAAGTATGTCACCCAACTTGAGCCTCAAACTAGATTTCTGGTTCTAGCAATAATTCTTTTAAGAAGTTATTTTTATTACTAGCCTGAGGCAAATTCAACGAAGATTATGTTTCTCAGGGGAAAAGAAGCATTTTCTGAAGCAAATGTACAACTTATCTGAGTATGCTGTAAAATCTGAAGGTATCTGTCCTCCGAGTCATATTAGCACAGTCCACAGAATTCCACAGTTCCTACTCTAGCACATATATCATCTGAATACATGAGAGTAATACATGTTTTGTGATCCACTTAAGCTTCCTATTACCAGATTTTAGCTGCTCTTAAATTTGGCTGTGATAGTCCTATGTCTTATTAGACAATTTCAAGCATTCTTACCAACTTTGATTAACATAAAGACTTTGGCAGGTCCTTAAGGCTCCAGGTTTTGATTTCAAGCTTCATCTTTTTGACTTTTAGGAGTCCCTGTGGTCTAATTCTCCTATATCATAACGATTTATGGTTGTCTAGATTCATTGTAAATGCTTTCAGTCCTAAGTCTCTGGCCATCTATTTTTATGTATTGAGTTCACTTCAGTGAGAGGCGCACCTTTAAAATACCATCATGTTTTTATATGCTTGGAATATTTATATGCATCAATATTTTTTTTCATTTTTTTTTATAAGATGCTAAGTTTGCAATAATTGCAGGGATCGCTTTACTGAGTCCTGATAAAAAACATTCAAGTGTCTTGGTTGATTTCTGCTATAAGACAGATGACGCCAAGGAACCAACTGATGAGAAACATGTAAAAAGCAAAACACAGTCAGTAACCACCTGCTGCAATATTACAGACTAGGAGCAATACAACCAAACTAAAGGGAAAGAAAAATTATGCAGTGTAAATCATTAGGTGGACACAGATAACAGCCATGAACATGGTAAAAGCTGCAAAATGAGAACAGCTAAAGAGAATTGGCTATAATGCAGTCTCACAGCCTGGTTGCAGACTGGTAAACAGAAGAGGTAGGTTCTCCTATGACATAAAATCTGGTCCCCTGATACTGCTGGCAAACAATCTATAAGACTTCCTTTCTTAAGCCTTATAAAAACGGTTGTTGCTGTTCTTCTCCCCCAACCCCCCATTGAAAAACAGTTCTAAAAGCAAAGAATCAGCATAGTTGAAAAGCGTCCCAAGACAGCACTTAGCCCACCCCACACTTCTGATGTGTCAAAAATTTCTTTTCATTTCAAGATGAAATGAAGCCTAACATACTTATTGTCTTCTTAAATAATATGTTCTACAGCCCTCTATCTGCACATTTTTCTTTTCCACTTTTTAAGAACATGAGTCTTGACTTTACAGATGACAAATTCTGAACTACACAGCTGCAGAAAGCCCATGGCAACTCATGCCGTTCAAACGCTGTGAAAGTTTCCAAGTTCATACTCATTGAAGGTAAATAAGAAACCTGGAGAGTCTCCTTTTAGATTAAAGCTCTCATATAATGATTGAAAGACAGAACTTGGAATTTTAAGTCCCTGAGTCTATTCTCTGCTATGCCTTTAATTCACTTGGTGAAAGTTTGACTCATAACATCTTTTACTCCACACCAGATATCCAGTAGACAGGGTAGATTACTATCACTTTCATTGCAACTTTTCCTGAGATTATTTAGCTTTCCAAGTTCTCTGAGATACTCAGAATAAAAGGTTTTAAAACTGAATTAAATTCAGTAAATATCTTTCACCACCTAGGTTTAGTATCACTACAACCGTAAGGATGGGAAATTAGCAGTAATAAGGCACAATAATTTCTCCTTTATTCACTATACTAAAAATCCATAATTCGAATTGTTTTGAAGGATACATACTCTACAATAATAAATACAAACATTTGCCTAAAGCAGAAGAACCTCTGACGAATAAACAAGTTTTGATATTCCTGTTTCTCATTCATTAGGATTTTATTAATACACATATTTCATTCATTCAACAAGTACAAGAAGACATAAAAATATTTCAGATTGCTCTTTCCTACATTAATGAAACAAACTCTAAGAAGAAATAAAGTACTTTCTCCTCCAGGTACAAGAAAAAGGTCCTACTATGACTGCAAAACTTCCAGCTTGGGACAGGTAACTTCCAGGTAAAAATTCACTGTAACTTAGGTATAAAGTCTGTGTTCTGTCTAAGTCCTTTTCTTGCAAGAAACCTACCAGGTTTTATAGAGGATTTATACTTTAGATTGGTTTCCACTGGTGCCTAGCGTTAGCAAAACAAGTATGTACTCCAAACCTAAGCACTTTTTTGAAACCCTCAATGCAATAATTTTCTAATTAATAAAAATACCCAAAAACATATCCGTAGCTGAACTTGTAACTCTTTTGTGACACAGCAGAGACAACGTGTTAAGACTGCTAATAAATTACAAAACCCAGTAACATTAATCTCAAATCAGTTATAATTAAGAAATTTTCACACTGAAGGTTTTCTTACTTTCCTCATGGAGCTTCCTGAGAAAATTAGAGCTATGTATTTTTCATTTCAGAACATGAGGAGATTCTGTACAAAACAAAATACTGCTTTTTTTTTCCCAAATATTAGTATGGGATAAACAGCAATGACAGAGACAGAAAACCCTCAGATTTTGCTCTTTCCTATGCTAGTCAGGAAGGTTTAACAACAGATCTAGACCACATGTCTGCTTTTCTGTGTACCATTAGGGAGAGACAAATATTTTGGAAAACTTGGTATAAATTCTAAGTTATTGGGTTAATTCTTAAAGTTCAAATGGAAGACAAGAACAAAGCTATTTGATGTTTTCAATCTACTGAAAATGCAGTTTCTACCACCAGGATAAATGTTAAAAAGAGAACAAATCCTGGGAAAATGCACAAAACATTAAAATTAGAAAAAGGTAATAAATGGATCCTTTCTTTAGTATTGAATTACTGCGAGTCTAAGAAATAGACCAGAGTTGATGACAAACCTCAGAATTAAGCTTACTCTCTGAACCGAAGGCATGTAAAAATTGATTTAACGTGAAAAAAAAAAAAAAAGAAAAAGTATTTTTCTTCTACCTCTTTAACATTCTGGAGCAAAATTGAGTACATGTTTCTCAGTGTGCAACATTCAGCCTGGCCATTAAGCACAACACAGCTAAAACCAAACTCTCTTTTTTCCTTTGAGCTATGCTCATTCTTGGTCACTGGAAAGATTAATACCACCATCTGCCATTCACCAGCAGGATCTCTCTTCTGCAGTTTTGGCCACTTCAAATTTTCACCCAGGTTGTGCGTTAGACATAATACCCCCTTCAGTGACAATCCACCACTAGAATCCAAATTATCATGAAACAGCACCTCAAGGTTCATTTTCTGATATTCACCTATACTTGCTAAGACTTTGCTACAGATTCTCATTGTCCTAAACAATACTCTTTCCTCTGGCTTTGACAGCGTTATCCATTCAGGAACACTCAGGTCGAGGTCATCTTCCCAGCACACTGCAGTGAACGTGTCACCTTGCTTTCTACATGTCTCTGTTATGTTTCTCTTCTTCACCCATATACTGCTATGCATCATCTCATTCACCTTCAAGAAAGCAATGTCCCATTCAGATGTTCCCATTACATGAAACCTACCACCTATATGTGTTCAGATACAAGAAAAAACCTCTATATGTTTTCCTATATTTTTCTCTTCGTAAATTGGGTATCCATAAAGCACTTCTATTCATTCAAAATCATCACTGCAGCTTCAAAGGCTGACAGTGGTTAGGTTGCTGCCATGCTAAGACCATTATCACTATTCAAGCTTACTTTAGCACTTCCTGGTGGTTCCATGTATTCACTTATTGGCTGCTTATGTATCTAGATTTTTAAACTTCTCTTTTTCTGTGCTGTACAGGACCTGATCCTGGGCTTATAACTAGAGTTCCTATGTATTCTGGTGACAAAAATAAAAACCACAATAAACCTGCCAAGAACACATCTACATCTGCACCAATCTTGCCTCAGGAAGCTCATATTCCAGACGATATTGTGAAAAAGTTGAATTAAACTGTGTGACTTTCAGCACACAAGAGCAACACAGAGACAAAACGCTTTGGTGACTCATATTAGGGGTAGAGCATACAGACATACACGGATGTCCTATGGACATATAGACATCCACGGCATAAGGCTATAGATATTTGCTGAAGGGAAAGCTGAGAATTACTTACCACGCTGCAGCCAGGACAATCAGGACCATTTTCACAGGTTCTGCGCCGTGCCTGGATCCCTCCTCCGCACTGAGCAGTGCAGCGCTCCCATGGACCCCAGCCTGTCCAAAACACATGAGGGGGGCACAACAAATGCTCATTGCAGTACCTGTGAGGAGAGGCAAACAAAGACGCAAAGAATCTATTTAGTACCAAGACAAGATCTCCCCCAAAAGTCGCTCATTTCCATTATTTAGATAGATGTTTGTACAGGGAAATATCTTATCCAAAGGGTCTCCCTCTATTCATAAAGCACAGAGCTAACAGTTGCCCCACTGCACAGAGTGTTTAAACATCTGAGATTTTTTTTTTAGGCCGTAATTGCGTGGGTGAAGCATTTGTTTGCGTTATTTAGTGCCTTTATACAATGCATGCAATATAACCACACTATCGTACTGTGAGCACGTAAGCAAGTTGACAACTACTTATTAAAAACAGTTGTGGCTATACATCTGAGGCAGAAGTAAGTCAACCAAACAGAAGGCAACCATTTCTGCAGGCAGTCTTTTATCAGTCTCCAGCTACGCATTGATTAGGATCCATCTCTCTCCTCTTCAGAGAGCTAAACTTGCTTTTTACTTTCCACAGTGTCTCCACTTCTGGGGGTAAAATAAAAGCTAAAACATTAATTCTAGGTATAAAGAACTGTACTGTTTTCATTATGTTATTACTTTATCTTTTAAAGGGTGTTTTTAGTTATCATAATCTTTGATGGGTTTCCCAGTGGGCTGCAAGCTGATTCAGAGGCCTACTAAGTCCTCGAGCGAAGCAGGAATATTTTATTACTGAGCTGTCATTATCACAAGAAGTCATTCAGATATGTGGGAGGGTCCCAACTCTTACCGAGTTTTTTCATTTTTTTTGTACAAACCTAAGATTCCTGATTTTTTTGAGCATGCTATCCAATAAATTTTGCCATAGCATATGCTGCTTAGTAAGGACCATCTACATAGGTCTAATGGATTTGGGTCACCAGCAAGTGTTACTGGGTCTCTTAAAGGGACAAAGTTGTTATTTCAGATAAAGTAAAGCCACGACAGATACTCAGAAAACAGATGACCTTGAAGGTGTACACTAATATTTTATGGATGTGGCTGTGTGGCTCTTGTTCCAACTACTGACTGTCCTGGACAAACAAATCCATCTGTTACAGTATTTCCTCATTTTTTACACCAGTCATCCAAAATCCACTGTCTTCTTGCCCTTCTAACAATTTTCCATCACTTTGTACTCTCTTGCAGTGAAAACTGACTCTACTACTTCAGTAACTCATTTTCTACCAAAAAAAAAGACATGGCAGTATAAACTGTTGTCATTTTCAACAAGAATAAGCAGAACCACATTTTTTTAGCAGAAAGCCCCAAGATGCTCAAGCTCTAATTATTCATTACCAAGGAATTTGCACATTCAGGATTCTGGGGGAAAAAGAAAAATGTTGTTTGTGTACGTTACATACAACAGTGAGTTTAACATATATGCTGGAGCCTATGATTCAGAATTTGTCTCTAGGTCTGAGCAACTCCATCAAAAGCTTAGGAGTGGGATAAATAGGTCAGTAACATTTAGTTTTGCGTTCCTTTATAGTTAAGGAAACTATTAACAGCTCGTATTGACCTCATCTGCCGCTTACCAGCAAACTGAGGAAAAAAACGCCAAACCCTCAAAATTTATTAATCCACTATCTCAGAATTCTTCAGTGTGTGATTTGGGTAAATGTTTTTCAACAGTAGGTTATATATAAACTATCTTTTTTTCCTTCTGCATGTTCAATATTTGCAATTCACAGTTCACATTATGCTATCACTAAAAATGCATAGGAATGTCCTGTGCCTGGATACTCTTCCCCCAAAACTCCAACAGCTGCACACATTCTCTGTCACATGCAGTCATTTATGCGAATATTTGCGATAGTTTGACTCTGTGACCATTTGTTGAGAACGTGTACTCAATGAAACATATATGTAACATCACCATTTATTTAGTCAAATGATGATTAACGATGATGTGCTAAGTTAATCTGGGACACACACATTGGATAAAGCAAGTTTGCAATAAAGTTGACAATTACTGACATTCAGCAATGCAAAATAAAATTAATGGTGGGACTCATTTCACCTTAAAATATGGGCATGTATAAGTAAGGCTGTCTATAAATGAAGTAGTCATCTAAACTTGAGAAACAGTTGATGGAAAGAAACAGCCCTTTTAAAAACATGATTTATGTCACCCTAAAGCAAATGTCTAATGTAGGTCACATAACAACAACCCTCAATCTACAGATTTCTCTCCATTGACTATAAAGTCTGCGTGGGAGGCAGACATCTAAGTTCCCATTACAGCCAATGGAAATTTTGTGAATAGAAGCTATGGAGACTAGAATGATTAAATTTAGGAATATACAGTAGAAGGAGACAAATCACCTGGTTCTCCACAGCCTGTATTGACTAGATTTCTGCAGATCGTAGTGGAAGTCTAGACACCTGACTCGCACATAAGCACTCACAGTTGTGAATACCTGAAGTTAGGTGTGATAAGTCTCACTTAGATGAGACTCACGGCACTATACAGTGCCTCTGTTAGTGCCAATAAGCCCTAGCACCTGCTCTTTCACTTAAGCAGAAGAAAGAAACCTAACTGACACGGTAAGCACTTCAAAGGCTGGCAATTTTGTCAAGCAACACTATTTTAAGATACAGTTGAAACCACAAGATAAAACTGAAAAGAGCCTTAAAATGTCTATATAGGCTACTTAACTTCAATTTAGGAATTTTTTTTTTTTTTTTTTAAAAAAAAGTTAGTAACAGAAGTGAATATAAACTTTTCATATTTTTTTCAGGAAAAGAAAAACAAACTAACAACACAGCATACAAGTAGAGTCTTATCTTCATTTCAGCCAGCCAGCCTCTGAAAACATCAGGTATGTTTTCACAGCTAGAGACATCCCTGCAACTGATCATTGAGAGCTGTGCTACAGCATGGGGCTTCAAGCCAAGTTTCATTATATCTCTTCTTGGCTGCATTTCAAGTCACTCAGTAACCCTTTTCCCCTTTTGCTCTTTCTTCCCCTCTTAATTTTGTTCTCAGGACCCACAGGGCTAACATTTTATAGTAATTCAACAAAACATGCAATGCAAGAAACTTGAATCTGTGAAACCACTGCCCTCTCCCCTAATCTAGCTGAAATGAGGTCAGAAGGGAGAACAGCCTACAGAAGTGTGGGTTTTGTACAGTGACCCTTCCCCTTTCCCCTTGCAGTGAATTCAAGTTCAAATGCCCTAAAAAAGGAATTATCATACTGGGGGAAGGGAGAACATCCTCTGTCCAGTTGTGTCCACCACCACTAGTTCCTGTGGTAATTTTTTAATTTTTACTCCAGGCAATTCCATTACAACTGGAATTATTATTCTTGTTCCTATGAAGATCTCAACCTTTAGCAAAACATTAGTTTATTTCAGTATTGTCATGCAGCACTGAGCACCGCAGGCTAACTGCATGACAGTTATAAATGTGTCTTTTTTATTCCACAGAGAGATGCTATTTTTATTTTTTTGCTTTTTTTAAAATTTTTTTATTTATGCTTATATATATTTATGCTTTTTTATTTTTTTGCTTTTTTAAATTTTTTTATTTATGCTTATATATATTTATGCTTTTTTATTTTTTTGCTATTTATGCTTTTTTATTCCACAGGCTAACTGCATGACAGTTATAAATGTGTCTTTTTTATTCCACAGAGAGATGCTATTTAATTTAAACACATAGTTCTTAATTCTGAATTATATTATACTAGCATGTATTTAAGAAAAACAAACTAACCTTCATCACTGTTTGCCCATCCCTACGCAATATATTGTTATGTGGTGGGTACTTGTGATTACCAGCCGGTAACTTACTGGGAAGCACAGACTATACAGAGGTTGATGGGAATGCTGGATTCCCTTAATTGAAGGCAGATATGCAATCCACACATGCCTTACTGGATTGAGATCGCTGAATCGACAGAAATCCCCACCCAGGAGACTGTGGAAGGTGACAGGGGCATGGTCATATGCTCCCAGGGACTTCTGTGGAAGAAGAGGAGGAAGCAGAGAAAGCACGGATGGTGGGAGTAGACGCTTCCCAGCAGACAAGACAGTCATGGGAGCACAAGCGAGCCCAAAGCCTTGTGGTGTTTGATCTGCTCTGCTGAAGGGGACCAGGCTTGTTCGCACTGCTCAGAAACAAGCAGTGCTACAAAGAGCAGGCACTGGACTCTCAGCAGTTCCTCCTTCTCATGGAAACAAGCCCAAAAGCTCTGAATATCTGCTGATGATTGTGTAGAATGATAAGGTGACAATATGTACTGCTTCTAATCTTACACACCCAAAAATTTCCAGGGCTTTCAAACGTTCAGTCCTGCAGCCAGTTTATTTTTCTACTTCTGATTTGCCAGGCTTTTTTTCTTTTTTTTTTCTCCTACATAATAAAAGATAACTAAAAAGCAAGGGATTCTCATTCTAATGCATTTCTGCAGAGATAGGAGGCAGATTAGTGGACTTAATGAGCCCATATCCACACCATCTTCCACGGGAAGGAGAGGACAAACTTTCTCACTCAGCGAAAAAGTTAAGACAGGTTACTATAGACTCTATAAACTAAAACCTAGAGAGTTTAACAGCATCTTTGGAGAATATTTCTCACACAGGAAAAAACCAGAATTTTTTAAGCCCCTAAGGAATTAATCAGGGTATCTTCAATACAGAATTGTTTTATCTGATCAGCAAATTTTGTTAAAACACTATTTTTACTCCCTCTCCATATTCTGTGTAAATGAACATCAGCTGCACTTTTGACCTGTTTGTACAAAGCAAATTCACTTTGCAATATGAGTCTTTTCTCTCAACTGTTTTCCATGCCACCCCCCCCCGCCGCCCCAGACCTCTCTAGCAGCAGAGCATGCAACAGCTTAACCTATCTGCAACAGTTTAAATTGGTAAATATTGCCATTGATTTCAAGGGAATGACCAGCACGCACAGAGCTGCCTGATGCATTAGCCATGATATGATCATGGCTTTCAGGAAGTAAAACAAACATAACCTAGCCAAACATTTAGCTCTTAACACATGAACTCTCAAACTGAATATGCATTCACATCTGCAGGTGAATGTACCTCAGTTATACGCTGCCTTTTCTGTGTTTGCTTTCTACAGAGATATGCACTGGACTTCTACTGAAATCACTGTTTGTTGAAGAGCTGTGTTTCAAAGTTTGGCACAATGTTGGCTGTGGAAACTGAATCCCGCATTTATGCCCCTGAACGTGTGAAGGTGATGTGAACATGCACTTTTTATAAAGAAAAATTCAAACAATGTATAAACCAACTAATTCTAATTTTTACTAAGACTACACATATATTCATTTTACATATGAGCTGGGCCATTAAGAAAGTAAAATGTTAGGCTATTTATAAGCATCGATTAATTTAAATAAGAAAATCTGAGAAGCTGCTTATTGGTAACTCTGGATACAAAACTGAGGTAAACGTTTCTTAGGAGTTACTGCATGTGGAATATTTGCTTAGCCTGCCTAAATGTAGTGGGCCCAGTTCTCAAAGGAACTGTTTCCATTTGGTGCAGATGTATCTCCAGTGGTCCTGGAGTTAAGCACTGAATTAGGACTACTGTAAATACTGGTACTCCCTTGCCCTCATAGCTCAAAACTCTCTACAAGCTATCGAAGTCCTGAAGACACTCATAAAGCTTTAATGGCCCCAACCAGTCTCACCTGGGACCTCTACCCATGCCCAGGGGCCTGGGAGGTCTATTTAAGCTCTGCCACAGACTTTCAACCCCCGCCTGAGCTGTGCTGTTGGAGAAGTGTTGGACTTAGTCCTTGGCCCACCATGGAGCCTCTTGGTTTAGACCTCAGCGTGTGGACTGGGCTTGGCCCTGTTGCTATAGACCTGCACAGTGACCGCTGAATCTGATCCTAACCCTGGCCTGTGGCTTGGCTTCCCAGATGGACCTCAGACCTGCATCATCATCATCATGACCTAGAGTCTTGGTTGGATCTGGACATATCTCCAGGCTTGCCCTGCTCTCCTGCTGGGAGTGATGGGATGGGCCCTGGCTGGTGATCTTCCCAGGACTTTCTGCTTTCAACAGCTTTGAAAAGGTTTATCCAAGTACACGGCCTAACATCGACAAAAATCCTTGCAAATAACTGATTTGTTATTTTTTCATTCCTCTAGCTGCTTTGCAAATCATATGACAAAAATTCCTAATATACAACATATTCTGGAAATAAATTTTAAAAGTACTTCTAAAAGAAAAAAAGAGTCTTAAATGTAACAGCACACATCATGGACAACTTAAAATCAGGGTAGAGACAGGAAGGTCAGCTCTGAGCAAGCTAGTGAGTGAGAGGAAGGTGCAGGGCCAGTGAGAGTAAAAGGTGTTTCAAGAAGATAGGAAACAGTGACTGAGGAACTATGAGAGAAAAAATCATCCTGCAGTAAACTCACAGGCATGAAAATCCCAGATTGCTGCTGAACTGGACAAAGAGAGAAAGGACAAGTAACCTGTAGGCTACAAAAGCAAAGCAACATAAGTTTGCTTTTCCTTCAGAACCGCTACATACCAAAATTCAATCCTTCTAGGCTGCTATTATTTCAATTCTTTCTAAGTAACTTTCCGTTTTGTAACTGCCTTTTTAGCACACCCATTGTCTCAACGCTGGGCATTTTCTGCAATAATCATGGAAGTATTTTTCATGGTGTTCTGTATTTCTCCAAAACTCCTTATTGGACTTTCATTCCATGTTAAACTTCAGATGAACAACAACTACTAATATTCATAATCCATCAACAAAAAGTCTATCCAAACTAAACTTCTTTTCTATTTGCAGTTTCATTGTGTCCTGCCCTGGACCAACCTCTCAGTTCAAGAAAACCAATAACTGTTATTCATGCTGTGACAGAGCTATGTAACAGCAGATATAACCTACATTTGGTGGTGATGGCTTTTTGGTTGGGCAACCTATTTTCAGGAAGGAATTTACAAAATAACAAAATGCTCTCCTCTGCAATGAAATGGTAAATATTCATGGCTCTGAAACAGAAAGATCTGTTCTGTGATACTGATCCTTTACATTTAGAGTTAGAAAGACCAGGTCCCTGATGACTGTTAATACATAAATATGTGATGCAACTTCCCTTCAATGAAATGTCTTCATCTGTAGAAATGCCAAAGTTGGTGTTTAATTAAATCCCTCGCTGAAACTAATAAGGTTACTGAATCTTGTTTTCATCCAACAGCAATACAGGAAAGTAAATCATCCATACAGAAAGATTGAAGTAAGCTGCAAGTGTATATTGAGAGGAAATGTATCCACATACATCTTTTGGAACGGATGACTACAGTACTCGAATTTTACACCAATACCAGTCTTCTGTTATCTAGCTTTTTGGCATGCCTCAGGAAACAACATAATGCATTGAAGCACTGCAGTTTCTCTGAATACTTTCCAGTTAAACTTAAAGAAATATTTAATTCTTGTTAAAATTCCTAACACAAATCACAAATTAGAGACATTAGGGTACACAACCTGCTGAGTAATGAGGCCATTTCTAGGTAAAGATGAATGTTTACTGGGAGCAATCTTATCGTTCACTTCACCTGAAAACCTTCTCAGAAAAATGCAGATGCTGCCTTGCTGGATTATGACAACATCATCTAAAGAACTCTCCAAGGCCCTCAATTTTAAAAAATGTTTATTTCAAAGAATTTCACAGAGGAATCACTGGGGGAAAGGGCTTTGTAGATATCTGCCTGATCAGGTTTTTCCAGGATGGCTGGATGGGGCTTTCAGCAACCTGATCTAATGGAAGGTGTCTCTGCCCATGGCAGAGGGGTTGGAACTAGATGATCACTAATGTACTTTCCCACCCAAACCATTCTATGATTCTACATAAAATAGAATCAGAGGCCCGAACTTTACATTCTGAGCTAGTGACAATACTCATCCTGGTTCCAAAGCACTAGATGGTGAAATCAAAATCTGAGCTGACTTGATCTGCTCAGGGGTTGATATAGATAAACAACTTTAAAAAACCCTAAACCTTACTGAAAGATATTTGAGTTCAAGGTGTATTATTTATTGAATATAAAATGAAGCCCTTGAAACTGTCTTTCATGTTATATAGATGCTTAACTCACTTAAGATGGAAAAAAATGAACTCACAGCATCGGTGACATAGTGCTGTGACCTTACTATATTTTGCTCTGAATTCGAGGTCTTGAGGCTGGACGAGTTACAATTCAAACACACTGCAATCAATTTTCAAGGAGAATTAATTTTCAGGGTCTCAAGGGACAGCAGCACATTGCTTCAGCACAATTCTCTGGCACTACCATGAGCTCTCAGCTGGCTAGGGAGGGATGCAGCTAAGAGAAAGATGAAAGACCCACTGCAGACCCACAGCCTTGCTAATAGGAATACTGCTACTATTCCAGGGCAGCATCAGAGTTAAAGAGACAGTGAAAGGAAAAGGAAGAGAAAAATAAGGCAAGTAAAGGAGAAAACGTCCTGTGGAATACAGCTGAGAGAAGAAATTAAAAGACAGTAGAAAAAAGATAACTCACCTCTCCTCACGATTCTGTCCCACACAGACACGTCCTCCATGTCGAGGGGTTGGATTGCTGCAGGAACGCTGACGAACTTGAAAGCCTATTCCACAAGTGGTACTACAAGGTGACCAAGAAGTCCATGGTGTCCAGCCTCCATTTCTGGTAGAATAAAAAGCTCAGGCTCTGTCATCTGTTATACATAGCGAATGGCTGATTAGGTGTGACTGACAGCAGAATCTGGCCCATTAATATTTCTGTAGAAGTCATTAATACTGCATTGTGTTCCATTTCTTAAAGAATACTGAACTAAAAGTGCTCTGATCCTTCCATATTCCATGCTTCGTAATCAGCAACTGCTAAAATGACCCCATTACACAAGAAGTACAAAGATATGAAGCTATTTAGTTGCTTTCAGTCACTTTATTCTGAGTAAACTTCATCTGCAAACTCCTGCATCAAAGCTATGAAGATAACTTTTAATTACATATTGTTCTAATTATTATTTGTGGGTCTTTTTTTCAGGGAGATTAAAATGTCAAGTCTTCCTACCTCTTCTGAAAGGAAAGAGATTAAAGCCTGGAGAAAAAGGATGCTCCGGGGACACCTTATCACTCTCTACAACTACCTGAAAGGAGGTTGTAGTGAGGCGGGTGTTGGTCTCTTCTCCCAGGTATCAGTGATAGGACAAGAGGAAATGGCCTCAAGTTGTGCCAGGGGAGGTTTAGATTGGACATTAGGAAAAATTTCTTCACTGAAAGGCTTGTCAAGGACTGGAACAGGCTGCCCAGGCAAGTGGTTGAGTCACCATCCCTGGAGGTATTTAAAAGACATGTAGATGTGGTGCTTAGGGATATGGTTTAGTGGCGGACTTCTCAGTTTAATGGTTGGACTCAATGATCTTAAAGATGTTTTCCAACCTAAATGATCCCATGATTCTAAAGGAAAAAGAGTAACAATAAGGAAGTGTCAAAATGCATTAGTTCACAGTTTCAATAGGATACTCTGATAAGGTGCCGATACCTTATTTATAACATAACAAAAAAGCTGTACCCTGCATTTGTGAACTTCTGGAAAGGACACTCCTGTCCCTCCCCCATATACCCTAGGAAAAATATACTAGACCAAACATCTCAAAAGGAATTCCATACCCTGTCCTAAGCAAAAAATGATGCACTTCAGCAGTTGCCAAAACCTTTTGATGGCTAGCTTGCAGTTTCTGTATTGGTAGAAGACAAACAGAAATCAAAAAACATAAACCATAAAACTAAACTATAATGAGTTCTTGTGGTTCATCATAAAAGCAAAAGTTAAAATAGTGCCTTACTTCATTTTGAAATAACTTTTTTTAACAACAAAAACTAACTACATGCAGCAATAAAAATGGCATAAGTTTATTCAAGTAATTTATCACAAATATTACCAATTTAAATTTCACTCATCTTGATGTTATTATAAGGGATATAAGAGTTGATAACACAGAAAAAAATTAATAACTATCACTGGTAACACAGACAAAAAAATAAGATCTCTGCCAGTGCAATGTCTGACCCAAGTAGTAAAATGAACAAAATATCTGGATATCCATGAATTCTAGGAATCAATTACTAATACAGCAGTGTTAGTAACAAAGATATTAAAATAGTAGTGTAATACCGCCAATGGTAGTACGTAAGTACCAAATCACGTTCCAGATTGCCTTCTAAACCTGACAGCCAATAGCATTGTTCAGGATCTCACAGCATGCTTATCTTTTCTACCATTCTCCTGACCTGATGTTATATACTATATCATTATGTTTTTAATAATTTCACTAAAACTGCCTACTTTGACTTACAGAGCTTGCAGTTATCTTGTGCAGAAGGATAATCAGTTTTATTCACTACCATAATGTACTTCTGATGTTTAAAAGAAAAGCAGAGGCAAAAGCAGAAAGAGTCACTGAAAATAAGCAGAACGCACCAGTATATAAGTTTCATCTTGTAGTTAAAGTTATGTATAATGTTTTAAACCTGAACTCCTAATGCAGTTCAGAATATGCAGTGTTCTGAGTCTCTTTGAAATTATCTGATCTCACCGTTTTTTTCTGGGAGTGGTTACATGTCTGAGGAAGACAAAAGAGTGGCTAAAGAGTGGCATACAGTCAGGTAATAGATGTAGATGTCATGATACAACTGAAAGATATTTTTCCCAAGGCAGAATGGGGGAATACAGCAGTGACATGAGATGTCCAAAAGTGTAAAGAGTTCTGACTTCCAGAAAAAAAGTTTTATGACTTACAGAACTGAGGAAAAGTATCCTACTTTGGATATTACCTAGTATTTTTTTTTTCTTTGAGCTTTTATTAAAATTAGCTGAGGTCAATATTATTTGGAACACAGCATTTGAAATCCTATTTGCCATCTGGCTCATTCTCTCTCCCATAAAGTCTGAGACACACTTTATAATGTCTCTTTTGCTGTGGCCATTGCTATGAGCTGTTTCATGCACAAAACATGATCAGTGGATCGCAGATGAGATTTCAAAGGGTAGTTTTTAATCTGATTAAGTTAAAAACTTTTAAACCATAAACAATAGAACCTGAAATTGTTTTGTGTACCTGGAACAATTGGCAATCTCCATGGTTGGTCCTTCACACAGCCAGCCTCCACACTGAGGAGCAGGATTGTCACACACACGTGTCCTGCAGAGGCAGGAGCCAACACTGGCACCATCAGTATGGGTGCAAGGTTTCCACTGCGACCATGTTCCAAAATGCCCATCCACTGTCAGATTCCTCATCTAGAAACAAACACAAGAGAAAGGCTTACCTGGGGCCTGATGGTTCCTTCATACAACCTCTTAATCATGCAGTATATGGAGGTACAGCCTTCACCCACCAACAATAAAAGCCTCCACTAGTGAGGTACATCTTCCAGACAGCAGGATCCCCTTATGATTTCCGTAGCCGCATAATTAACACCACCTCCAACCAGTCTGGGCCACTGGATGCCACCACTATAGCAATAGTCACAACTAAACGTTATCTTTTGTAACCATGCCTACAGTGATTCAATTAAAAAAAATATAGTTTCACTTTCTCAATTACCTTCTGATGACAGTATTCCCTATTTCCTAAAATTTGCCTGTGGTTAGGAACCTGGATACTGACTGTAAAACAGCATGTGCAAGAATGCTTCTGGAAACCCAAATCTAGATCAAAAGGAAGAGGAAGCAGAGGATAATAGTCCAAGGTAACAAAACTTGATGAATCAATCTCAAATCTCCATGATGAGTGTCTTTTTTTGACAACAGTTTTTTAGAAGCACATATCATATAGCACCATTTCATAAAAGTGATATGTAGTTTTAAATACGACTCTCTCACATTAGATAGAAATATATGTATAAATCCTAAAAACATCTTCAAAAAGCAGCACCTAACTCTACATGATAAAACAGCTTGCTCCCGCTGAAGTAAATTCTCAAGAGTTTTGGCTGAAACAGCCAGACCATGTTCATCTTGACTGGTATGTTTCCATCATACAGCCATAACACATGGTAATACGAAATCTTTACTGTCCAGCTGAAACAAAATGCGCTAATGGAAATTGCAGCAGCCTCCATGGTTACTGGAACTTCTGAAGAAAATGGGGCTGGACATAGGGAATTTAGCTCTCTTAACAAAGACAGGCTTTCATATTATTAATTCTTTTAGCAAGCTGTTAATCTTGACAAATCTGTGATCATAAATGGAAATGATGGCCACTTTTTCACTTAAATGCTAAAGGATTTGCCTTTCAATTTCACATCTTAACTTTCAGACAAAACAACAGTACTAACAAGTGCAGGCTAAATAGCATTTAAAGTCACTCTTAGAGAAAAATAAATATGTATCAGTTGTCATGCATATTTTATCATTTTATCAAATGTGTAAGAAAGTAACACTTCAGCATTTCTTTATATATTGGAATAGGAACTAGTTGTAGATTGTCATGAATGATCTGAAATGGTGTCTCCCTTTGCTATTTATAATATTGTTTCATTTTAACAGTAGTGAGGGAAGTATACATTTCACTAATAATTTGAAGATACGGGAGATTCGATTACAGCACAAGACATGTTTCCACTGTCACGCTGGGCACTGACTGATTCTTTTCACTGCAGTAAAGGTTCCATAATTTCACTGTTAAATATATTTCTCATGATTTATTTTTCACAGATATAGCTTCTCCACAGAACAGCTGTGAGTATATTCTGCCAGCTACAACTGACATAACCATAATTCATAATTTCAAAATTCTGCTGACAGCTGTTTATTGAAAATAACTCACCAACCTTTGCTTATGCAGAGTATACACTGTTGTTTTTCACAAGACACAGGAAATAATTACTTCTTGTTAAGTGACAAGTAAACCCATTCTCCCTTGCACTGCTGGTCTAACAAATAGATGGTCCATAAACTAGCAATAATACGTCCCCTATCTAATTAATGTCAGACATGTGAAAATGTCCTTACTGCGTTCTATTTCTATGCTGCATCAAAGCATCTTTATTGGTGCACCTACAATTACAAACTAAAGCTACTTGTCTATGGTTACCACAACTTATATCAAGTGGCAGGTTAAGTAATCACAAAACTTAGCTGGAAGCTTGAGCTCAGAAGGACATACAGATGGCAGATTTCTCTTTCTTGATTTTTCTCCCCTACTCCTGCAAAATTCATCCCACTGCAGTCTCTGCTGTTCCCCATGACTCACCTGCTCTGTCTCTCTATGAACATTTCCCTTTCACAAGTGATATCAAAAAATTTCATCATAGGACTATAGGAAAGCAAAATGTACCAATGAAGGGCCTTTTTAGCCCTCACTAGACCTATGCTAATTGACCTTTTGCCATCGGACGTGCCTCAAGGGGAATATCACAATCAATCAGACAATATGGTTGTACTTTCCTGGCATGGCTACACTCTGCTTTGCCTCTCTACCATCCCATTTTTGTCAACCTTTCTCTTCTGCAGATACTGCTAGTCTGTTCTTCCTTCCTAATATCCTCCAAATATCAATCTTCTTTGTCGAGTCTCTCTGTACCCACCTTGTCTTCCTGGTTTATGCCTCTGCCCTCTGAGTCAAGGTCACGTCTTCAGTGACCCAGTCCTTAAATCTGCCATGAGCTCTTTGGTTTGAGATTGTGTAGAATTCAGTGGCTATGGAGTATTTCCTGAAGCTGCTATTGAATTCAGGTAAGAGTCCATACTATACTCTTTGCCTGCATGCAGCTGTAAAAATAAAGCCATTTCATGTTGCATACTTATGTAAAAAAAAACCCAAACAAACAACTGTTTTAAAAAATATTTTTACTTTCCTTTTAAAAGTTCTTTGATAATGTCAAATAGTGTATTTTTAAGTGATGGATTACAAATGATCCCACTGGAAAATATTTTGGCAAAAAATGAACCTTCATTCACTATAAAAAATATTGGATGAATAACAGGAATATCTGGCTAACTGGAAGAAGCTCAAGGTAGATATATGTGCCATAGCATTAACGGCACTAATTACTATCTATACTCATGCACAATTGCCGTACTCATGCCAACTGAAACAATAATCTAAAAAAAACTACTTGAGAATTAAATCAAAGCAAAACCACCAAAATAACCACATTTATCACAAATGATCTTCAAAGTTCAGGGAGATGGTAACACAAATGCTCAGCTACCTCTCCTAGCCCCTTCCCTGCTCCACCATGACATGCCAATAAATATTCAGATATATGAATAATCCCCTAGGAAACAAGTTCTCATGTGCAACCGGTCATACTTTTAATTTTGGGCTAAATTAGTGTATAAAGAAACCTCTCTGTGATCCGAGTTTAGAAGAAACTGGTCATGCATTAATCTGACAAATTTTCTATAGTGTTAAAAAGATCACTGTAACTTTAGTAACAATTAAGGTATTAGAACCAACTGGAACTAAAGGAGGGAGGGAAGAAGGTTTCTGTTACGTTCTGCCTGCAACAGTATCTTAAATGTATATAGCAAATGTCAGGGATGTGCACAGCTCAGCTGCCCACAAAACGAAATTTGTTATATGTTCACTTACATACCTGTGAATACAGCACATTAAAATGCTATGAAAACAAATATTTGAATACCTCTCTAAGCAAAATTGTAATCTATTGCAGTTTGCAAGAATACAGCATTATTTTAAATGAAAGTTTCTATGAAGTTTCAAATTTGTTCAATGTGTCACTTAGAGTTCAGGGGTTTAAGACAGGAAAATGGTAAAACCACGCTTTTCAGTTTAGACAATTCTAAAATTTTCCTTATATTCTGCAATCTCAATCTGTTCAACTCCAAAATTCCTTTGGAGGCTTGCTAAATATTTTTGTCTCTGCAACTGTCATAAAATAGACACTCAATAATTGTTTTTCCAATTGAATGGAAAAGAATTGAATTCTGCTTTCTAAACCATTCTTCCCTCTCTCTCCACCCCCTCTTGGACTCATGTTTTTTATCTACAAAAGAAAATAAGGGCTAATGCCAGAATTTAAAGACTAAGCAGTAGGCAGACTGCTCCTGCAAGTATCAACCAACCAACCTATTCCAGTAATTCTTCCTAACAGAGCAAGCCAACTAGGCCACCAGCAGACCCTCCACATAACCACATTTAGCCTGTGGGATTACCACAGGGAGATATGATATGTTCCATGTACTTGGAAATGAATATACAGCACAGTGCGTCTAGTTACTTGCTAATCAGGGAGGCAAGGACTGCACTAGTGACTTGTGGTGCTTTTTTGTCTGGCAGGGTTTTGTCAACTTTGTTGCTTATTTTTTGTTATATTAAATTTATTCAAAATAATTTTAAAGAGAAGTGTTAAACCACTGTAAATATTAACACTGAGTTTATTATAACTATTAATTCTTCATTTATGTGGGTGAGACTTAACTCATACAATTCACCCTTCCAATTCATGGTCTTTGAAAGATGTTATAAGGCCTTTTATATTAGCAATAATGATCCTAAAAGAAAAGATATTACCATTAGTGATTAATTTTTTTCAAAGTATAACATGGAGAAAAATCTTGCAGAGAAATACATGTCAGTATCTCTAATACTAGTGAACAATTGCTTTCTAGGTGGCAACACAGACATTACAGGTAAAAACCAACTACCTTTTGAAAGTACTATATATAATATGAAGAAATTATTTAAGTAGTTTGATAAGAAACAGAAAAGAAACCAAATACCCTGTTAAAATCTGATGGGAAGGCCTGAGGAAAATGGCATTAAATACAGTTTTCTGAGCTTGAAAAACATATGCCAGCTCATTTTCATAAAAATCACATAAAAACAAAAGTTGAAAGAGATAAATGAATGTATTTAGACTTACTGGACACACAGTAATGCTTTGCTCCCATTGACTCATGCTCAGACTTTCTTCCAGCGTTGTGCACTTCTTCATCACCATGTCCCAGCCGCAATAAGGGTCTTGGGATCCAATGCATGCACTGTGAATGAAAACCAATCAGAAAACTTGAACATTTATCTTCATCTGTACTGGCCAAAGATCTCTAATTAACTATGTGGCATCTTTTCATAACCCGTAGGCCTAAAACAGACAGTGAAACTGACCCCTGTTGTGGTATGACACAGATGAAATGACAAAACAGAAGAAAAATGAACTTGAATGCCCACACAAAGCTAGGATTTCTTATAAGTGCATAGCTGAATTTCTGGCTGCATGCATGGTATGTCGTCAAGACTTAATTACCAGCGAATTGCAGCAATTCATAAAAAGCACATGTTGTCGGCTCCAGGTAAAGAAGATTTTGGGAGTTACAGTTCTTAGTCTTTTCTATCAGTTTTGGAATTATAGTTATCACCTTTGTCAGAAATCAGATGTCTACTCTTTGAAAATTAATTGGAAAACCCTCTGATTTGTTTCCTGCACTGCTACAGAATCCCTGGAAGTAAGGTTAAAGGGGTGTTGGTGGCTACTGTCACACCTCTTATGTATCACATGCTGCCCTAGATTTTCCCTCCTAGGGGCACTTGAGAAGGCAAAAAGGTTAGGGAGAAGGTTGGTAGTCCAGCTTCCTACAGACTCTGAAAGACCCACTGTACAAAACTAGAAGCTCTTCTTTCTATTAAATGGCAACTTTCTCTTGCTACTGATGGGTCAAGCATTAACAGTCCAGGCAATAGGTCTGCAGCTTCATAGCTAAAGATCCATAAGGAAAGAGGTGGAAGTCTCATCGTGATGAAGCATAACATAATTGTTTTAGCACTTGTAAAAATACCTATAAATTACACATAAAAATAAATTCAAACATTTTTTCTAGATTATAAAAAATGTTAGACTGATCACTCTTGTTCAAGTCAAATCCATGGGCATTATCATTCTCTAATTGTCTGTTCATATCACATCTGTCCAGTGAAGGGCCACAAAGAGCCTGGAGCATCTCTCATATGAGGAGAGGTTGAGAAAGCTGGCACTGTTCAGCCTAGAGAAGAGAAGGCTCAGAGGGGAACTCATCAATATGTACAGATACCTGCAGGAAGGGTGCAAAGAGGGAGCTGAAGCCTTTTCAGTGGTGGAAAGTCATTATCCTTTCCCTTAGAACCACACTCTCTCTTTCCTGGGAGTAAGCTGATCCTTCTGGCACTCTGCTCTTAGACTCCATTTCCTCTTTTGCCTTTGTTTCCACATTACTTTCCTCTCAGGCAAGTCAAAATGGCTTCCACCTTTCATTACAAGTCACTTAGAAGTCATAAATAGGGCACTAAAAGCATATTTCAACCATTCTTATAACTTCCTGGTATCAGAACAGATCCTAGTTTCATGGAAGAAATAAAGTTAAAAAAATCCTGAGAAGTCCTTGCCCTACTGGAACAAAGCACGTTCAGTCACTCCGTGGACACCGAACATGGTCATTTCAGTAAGTGACCAGGTTTGGAGAGCACTGCAGCAAGATAAAACAAGGTGTGCTGTTTCAGAATTTAGTTATGAAGGTCCCCTGAGCATACAAAAACTATGATTTTGAGAAGTTAATAGCTCCACTAACCTCATGCAGATGACAAGAGGCTAAGTGCGAAGAACTTCCTCCAAAAATGAGAGTCATTAAGAGTCTTCAATATTTCGTTTTTTTCTTTACACTACAATACGTAAATTAACCCTGGAAACTTATGAACTATTCCAAAGAAATTAACAGGAAATTCTGTCTGAGAAGTATTGCTCACATGAGAAACTCTAGTTTTGCTTTTTTTTTTTTTAATATTCTGATTGTCCCAGTCGTTATTATAGCTAAGTCCCATTTTGTAAAAATTTTAATTTTGGAAATCTTGTATTCACACAGAAAAATCATAACACAGAAGTAGTTTAGCACCTTTCTGGCATTTCAGTTCACCATGCCAGATATATTCATGAAATGAAGCAGGACCTGGCTTAAACAGGTGCCCTATTCTCAGGTATTGGCACAACAGTCCTTTTGTGTCCTCCTCTCTGCCTCACATCTGAGAGGGTTTTCTTATTTCTTTCAGATCAGTGGCTTAAATCACCAGTATCTCTGAAAAGAGGATATATTTTCCTTACAAGGAAAAGAAGGAGAGAGGTAATAGGAGGTAAATTGTTAACTATATTTGCTTAATTATGTCACCTTTTAAAACCATTTTCTTTCCTTTGAGGGATAATTTAATGTGTGAATAACAGCAGCTAATTATTTTGATGTGCTATGCCTAGTTAAAAAAAAGAAACAGGTAACGAAAGTTTACAGATAGAAAATGAGGATAGAACAAAGCTGCTAAGTATGAAAATATCAGAACTTCTATCTGAAGTGTGAAATTTAAAGGGACCATCTTTAAGTCACAATTATGTGTCCTTACTGTCCTGCATTAATGAAAAGTTCATATTGTTTTAACTCTTTTTTAATGACTATCTCTCCCAAGAGGAACAGCTTCAGTGTGTACATGAAACAACAAAAGAAATCGTACAAAACAGCTGTCAAATTAATGTAAATAAGGAAAGTCAAAAATCAGATACGACTACACATCTTTATCCCTTTCTCCTCCCAAATCTCTCTCTAAATTAAGGCCATTTTAGATGCTACTGTTGAAAAATTACACAAATTTTAGATTTAGTATTAGGTCTTTCAGTTGTCACAGCTCTTCCAGCCAGTGGCACTGGAAGCAGCAGAGCTGGATAATGTATTAGCCATCTTGTCTCTAGAAGTCTACCTTACATTTCAATTTCACCAGAAGTGAAAATGAATGTTTTGTCTGTTACTCCCAGTAGGCACCAGACCACGTTTCTAAGACTTCACATGATTTGTCCCAGCACTGCTAAAACTGGCAATTTTGTGAAGGAAGGAAATTCAGGAATAAAAGTGAATCAGTTCATTCCAAGACCCTTGATGCCACTTACCCTGCTGAGTCAGCACTCTCTACAAAAACATTCAACAGCTTTTAGCTTCTACCGATTGATTCTAACTGTCCTCTACGTTGTCATCTCACATTTTCTACCAAATGTAAATGATAGGTAGTTGAGTGTCTCTCCTGCAAGGCATTCATTTGGCTGTGATGATTCAGTATGCCTACTGACAGTCATGCAACACTTAATGGATTTTGACTGACTAGTAACAGAACCATACGTCACCTCATTCTAAAGCAAGCCAGCAACAGCAGGTCATTTTCTTCAGCTATTTTATAATTATCACAAAGCAGGCTGGCAAAACTGCTCTAATTCAGCTACAGTTGAGATGATTTATTCAGACAGCAAATAAGAAATGAACGCCATTCAGAGCAAAATATATAAAACCCCACGATACAGTTTTAGACTAAAAAGACTTCATTATGTGTGCTTTAAAGAACAAAAAACCCTTAAGATTAAAAGCTATACACTGATACCATTGATTTCAAAGAGATTTTAAAATCTCCTTTCAGGAAAAGAATATACTCCCATATCAATATACATTGTAAAAGCGAATCAGGTGTCCTCTTGAGCTGTTACATTTTATTCAGAGAATATATAAACACAAAAGGTGCACCTTCCAAGACTGTTCAATGAAATATTTTTCTGTCTTTACCTATAAACAGATTTTGAAGAACAAAGGATATTTCAGTCTCTTGTCCCTTTCAATCGTTTCTACTGAGATAGCCATGCCTACCTAGTTCCAATTACTGTCAACTGTGATCTGGAGACTTTGTATACTAGGAACTGAACTGGGGTCACCATCGTATTTCACAGAAGTCAGATTCCTCACTGCAAATTTGAACGGACAACTGAAGATAAAGGCCGGTCCCACGTTCCAAATGCACTGCGCCATCCATTTGTGAATGAATACATGAATCTGATACTAGGCTTCTGTACAAAGGTACCTGTCAGGGTTTTCATTCCTACTGGTTTTGTAGATATATACATGTGTATGTGTGTAATGAAGAATAGGGATCTAAAGATACAGATGAATGATGCAGAAGAACATAAACAGTTGGCACGCAATCTATAAAGTTCTAGGTGCTCAAACTAAGATGAGTGTCAAATGTTCAGAACCCTGCTTAACCCTTGCCTGTACTGTTAAGAAAAATCAAGTCCTTTAACCATCTCAGTCACTCTGTGTCAACTACTGTTGCTTCCTTTCACTCGAATCCCTATAAGACAATAAAAATCCACCTAGGAAGATTCGATCTTGCAACATGCACTGACAATACTAGCCTTAAATCTACAAGCTCCTCCCTTCAAATCCAGAACAAGTAATTCATGTATAATTGGTTTAGTAAAGTTGTTTATAACACACAATTCTCCAAATATTGGTGCTTCCAAGTGGCTCGACTTGGAACAAATGCAAAAGACAACTTTCAGAGCACACTCTCTACAAGAGTTCATTGTAAAGAAATAACATCTGAGGTCCCCATCCATGTCAATCAGCCAAGGCAGAGCTTCCAGTCCTTTGATTACGATGCAAGAGCCTGCAAATGCTGGGACCACCAGGTGCAGCTAGGGTTGTCAAAGCCCTTTTGACAGGCTGAAACAAGACCCTGCAAATCTATGGTTTGCAAATAGGCTCTGAAAATCTGAATCACTTAAATGGCAAGGCAATCCAAGAGCAACAGTTATGGGGATTTTCCCACAAGTTTCTGTGTTGCTAGACCAGAACAACAACAACAGTGATTGCCCAGGCTGGACTCATTTGCTTCCATATGGCATCCCCATAATTTTAGAAGATGTGCACATCTTTAGCTGATATAAATGTAAACATGTTACACAACTTTTAGGCAGCTGTAACCTCGGTTCTTTTGAGCATAAATGGTGAGGTTATACTAGAATATGAATCAATTATAAAGATAGCAGGCACAGATTTAGGATGTACAACCTGACTCCTTAAAAGTACTAGCCAGATAGCAGGTAACCCAACATTTCGAGGGCACCATTACCTTTCATTCCAGAACTAACTGTAGATACCTCCACTGGTCTGACAACATATTACGAGAAGCAGGTGGCCTTCCAAGCCACTTAGTTTGGGCTCGTAGAATTGGAGCATCCAAACTCCTGCCCTGGAATCCTGACCACAGTTCACACTGTTGCATGAAGAATACTCTCTCATACATTCATGTCAATAGAGGACTGCAAACTCAGATACTAATTTTCTGTAAAATTTTAAATAAATTAAAATGTCCACAAAAAAAGATTATAGAATATTAAGAGAGCTGCAAATAATTCTCATGAGAAAACAGCTGGTGTGCAACGGAGAGCACTGTAAGCTGAGATGCACAGGGTATGTGCTGGCCTGACTGAGTAGCAGTTCAGTATGTGACACATTAAATTATTTTAAAATTAAAAACCTTCCAGATTTCTTTTTTTTTTTTCTTTTTCTTTTTACCATCTAGCCCCTTTAACTTCTGTCTCCAGAGAATACACTTGCCAAGTATCAAATGACTAGTGAAATGATCCCTTGGAAAGTGGGTTGCTTTAAACGTGTCAGGTGATTTTCAAGAAAAATTTAACAGCAACTGCACTGAACTTAGAACTCCTCTAACTCTTGGTATTTTTTAAAGCAAAAAAAATAATCACATCCTGACATATGAAAACTACATGCCTTTTTAAAATTTTTATTTCTTAGCTCACTTCTTTGTTTAAAATGATATCCTACTAATGAAATCTGAATTGCAAATATGTAGTCAAGTCCAACTGGTTTTCTTACAACTTTGCATACTAAAAGGAAAACTCATTTTCCTTTTCCTCATAAGGCTACTTCAGTAAATACATTGTGAACAGGCTGTAAGATTCTACCTGTTTATCAAAACTTATTCTTTTTTGCCAAAAATGTGAGCTTACAATACAACACGTACATGCATAGAGTAGAGACTTGTGACTAAATATTTCAGGTGCAGCAAAATGTAAATGCATAGTTTGTCTCTGGTGCATTTTGTGGGCCAAAGACACTTTCTGCAAAAATCTTGGTCTTCACATAGGAAGAAAGAAATATAGGTCAACCTCAGATCTGTAGAGCTTGAATTGATTCCCATCCTTACAGATGGAGATGGTGTCCCTCAGGGATCTGTGCTGGGACCAGTATTGTTTAATATCTTCATCAATGACATCGACAGCGGGAACGAGCACACCCTCAGGAAGTTTGCAGATGACAGCAAGATGAGTGGTGACACGCCTGAGGGATGGGATGCCATCCAGGGGGACCTGGACAAGCTTGAGAAATGGGCCCATGTGAACCGTATAAGGTTCAACAAGGCCAAGTGCAAAGTCCTGCATGTGGGTCAGAGCAACTCCCAGTATCAACACAGGCTGGGGGATGAAGGGATTGAGAGCAGCCCTGCAGAGAAGGACTGTGGGGTACTGGTGGATGAAAAGCTGGACATGAGCTGACAATGTGCACTTGCAGCCCAGAAAACAAATCGCATCCTGGGCTTCATCAAGAGAAGCGTGGCCAGCAGATTGAAGGAGGTGATTCTGCCCCTCTGCTCAACTCTGGTGAAACCCCACCTGCAGTGCTGCGTCCAGCTCTGGAGTCCTCAGCACAAGAAAGACACGGGCCTGCTCGAGCAGGTCCAGAGGACAGCACGAAGATGATCAAGGGGCTGGCGCACCTGTCCTACAAGGACAGGCTGAGAGAGGTGGAGTTGTTCAGCTTGGAGAAGAGAAGGGTCCGGGAAGACTTTACTGTGGCCTTGCAGTACCTAAAGGGGGCCTACAGGAAAGGTGAGGGCAATCTGTTTAGCAGGGCCTGTTGTGATAGGACAAGGAGCAACAGGTTTAAACAAAAGGAGGGCAGATTTAGTCTAGATACAAGGAAGAACTTTTTACAATGAGGGTGGTGAAACACTGGAACAGGCTGCCCAGAGAGGTGGTAGGAGCCCCATCCCTGGAAACATTCAAGGTCAGGCTGGACAGGGCTCTGAGCAACTCAATCTAGCTAAAGATGTCCCAGCTCACTGCAGGGGGGGATGGACTAGATGACCTTTAAAGGTCCCTTCTAAGCCAAACCATTCTATACTTCTGTTAATATTTACATTTATCATGGTTTCCTGATCCAGCACTAACTTTAAATAGCCCGTTTTCCAACAAGTCTTATCTCTCAGCTCATCCAATCCAGTTTTCTTTCTGAACCCACAGAGATATTGTTTACTCAGTTGTAAGACAGCTTAAAATAACACCCAACTTAAATTTGTCCAAGTTTCAATCTTTAAATATATCAAACCAGCAGCTATATTGCACATTATCAGACAACTGTTTTCAACACAAACTATTTCTTACTTTTTAATTTCACAATTCAGTATCTGCATAATGACAGTGAAATACCAGTACAATTCCTTGAGAGTTTCATCTAGTCCTAACAAGTTAGTATAAAATGTCAGAGACACTTCCGACAGCGTACATAGAAAGTCATTTCTGACAGAGGCAATTAATTTGGATTTCTAATTACAGTAATTTTTCCTTCCCATTTTTCTGCAACCCCCCGCAAGCATGTTTTTCCAATCAAATCAAACTAGCTGGTTTTCATACCTGTATGTTTTGTAAAAGAGACATCTCTTCAGGGGAACCTTAATCACATGTTCCTGAAGGCCCACAAAAAGGACACTCTGGCTGTGCAGGATCTGAAGGCTCCTGATGGGCTCTCGCTGACTTTTCGGCAGGAGTTCAATTTCCTCAAGCAGGCAGCTGCTTGAAGTCTGGTTCATTGGAGCAAGTACTTTCTTAACAGTGCCATAGTCTGTAAAGGCAAGAGGAAAATTATTTACTAAAATCATACTAGCAATTCTACCTACTTGGTATCATTCAGTGAACAAATCTTTGTCACATGCTGGATGTTTTCAGTGAAGCTTCAGAATGTGGGAGTACTTTGACTGGAGTTTCTTAAGTTGCTTATAGTACAGTGAAAATAACTTGAAAGAAGCCATTAAAGTATTATATATGATGCAATATAGGAAAAAATAATTTTATTACTGCAGAACAGACTTCACAGCCGTAGTCACTAGAAAACAAACTTTCAAAGTCTGGCTATTATAAATGCACATTCACAGCAAGGGTTACTGATTTTAGTTTACAAGACTGTACTACACTTTACTGTGTTTAAAGCAGTTTAGAAAGCAATAATGTCCATCGTTGCCCCAGCTTCTTTTAAAATTCTATGTGTTAAAAACTATGGGGTTTAGATATGTATTGCATTCATTTAATAAAGCACATATGCATAAATAACTGCAGGTCTTAATTGAGTTTAGGTGAATATAACAATAAAATGAGGCTGTGTCCCTTCTTCTTACTTATCTGGATTTTGACCTCTAAAAATCGTATCTTTTATCATTTAATTTCTATTCTAATTGTGATTTCTAAGCAAAGACAGCTAAGCATCACAAACCAGTGTCAGACAACTGGTGAGATTTCTGATTCACTCATGCAAAGTTTGTAAATAATTAAAAAATATCAAAGAACATTTGTTCTGAACACAAAGGACTACATTCTCATGCCGATAAATATTTTAAGTAGCTGTCTGATGAAAACTGCATTATGCAATCTTCCATGTCCCAGCAATAGTAAATGCTAAAGAGCCAACACTGTAAACACATACTGAGATCAGCTCTTAACTGCCGTGAAGTCTCAGAAGACTGTAACATCTCTTGTGAGTCAGTAAAAACTGCAAGACCAATGTCTGAGATGTTCTGTTCTGCAGCCCAGTAAATATGGTGCTTGCCATCACTAGCACAAGGCCAGAGGCTTGGTGGGCAGCTGGCAGCACGGGGTGTCAGGACGTGCCTGGCCTTGCCTTGGGAGCTGGTTTTAGCCAGGGCAGCAATTGTCTGGTGGCCACGTGCCTGTGGCCTCCCTGTGTTGGCTTCGCTCTGAGAGGGCCCGGGGCAGGGGCTGGCACCCCTACGTAGTCACTGCGGGACACACAGCCCCTCCGGGGTAGCGGAGTGATGGGGGCAGGTGGGGGGGCAGAGTGTGGCTCCCAGACTTTATCTGGGAAGTGGTGAGAAACAGCAAGTAGGCAACCTCAAGAAAATACAAAAAAGTAGCCTCAAGCACACTCCAAAACTGAAGAGGAGGTGGAGAACCCAAGATGCTAATTACTGTTAAGTCTTCTCCCCCTTCCTGAGGAAGACTGAATAGTCAATCTTAACACTTGGAGAAGTACTGGAAGGGGGAGCATGACACCAAATAGCAGAGGGAGTTAGTAGGAAGTTCATGTATAAGATTTTAACCATATTATTAACAAAACTTTAATAACTGAATAATAAGGACTTAATTTTATTAAACAGTCAAAACTAATTAGATGAACCATAAATGTACAGCTTATCTAAATGTTATATAAAGTGCATTCCCCTTTGTCCATAACAAGATTTTGAGTGTAACAGATCATGTCTGCATGTTAAAGTCTTCTGACTGACCTCTCAATTATTAATATAATCACTTCATATAACTGTTTACATTTTCCTCCTTTCTTGGTATAAACAAGCTTGTCAGGATTTACTGTATGTAAGAGTATTTGTTAGAAGAAAACTTTAATTAAATGGCAATTTTAATTTTCATTAAAATTTAACCTTTTTGATATTTAAAAAAAAAACCCAACTTTATCACTTTTTTCCAAACAACCTAAAGTGGATTTATATTCAAAAATTGACTAAAACTTTTCCAAGAGTCAGTTTTGTCTCACAATTAAGCGATAACCAGCTCAACTGAAGAATGCAACAAGGAGTGTTTCCACTGGTGACTGCTGGATGCAAAATCTCTACTATAATTACAGCACATTTCAAGGTCAAAATATGGTGTGAGAAGTACCCAGAAAAAAATCATTGCCTGTGCATGTTATTTACTGAGTGAAAAAAAAAAAAAAAAAAAAAAATAATTTTTTTGAAGCACAGAAGTTGGAAAAATGTACTAAGAGGAAGAAAAGAAGCAGCAGTGAGATCATTTTACAGAACCATATGAATTGGTATCACTTTATAGATCAGTTAGTACAACTCAATATCACTTGTCTGGCAGCCAACAGATTCAGTGTGATTCATGATACGTTGCATTTGGCTTGACATCTTTTTCCTGCATGAGACAAAAATCAGGTACACATTCTGCACCTGCTTCTCATACACACTGTTTCTTCCTGCCACTGTGCCGGGTCTGCAACTACAAACTGAGTCACTTGCTGTCACCTCCCACAAGATAATGGAGAAGGAAAAAACACATGACTGGAGGCCTCCTTCCCCCATGCCTACAAACACATTTAATTTAGAAGTGCAGCTTTGGGCAAGAGAATATGATCAAAATAAAATATTTTTTGTTTCTTTTCTCCTCCGTAAATTTGTTTATTGTAGCGGGCAGAATTACACTTTTTTAATGTTCAGTCTATGACCTGGAGAATACAGTTACAGCAGCATAGTACCCTAGAATTAAATAAAATATTCTCACTTTGAGAAAAGCAGCACTAATGCCTTCCCCAGTACAGCATTTATTGCTCTTGTTCTTCCTTCTTATCTTGGTATACTGTCTCCATTCCTTCCATTTCCTTTTGCTTTCTTTCAGCATCTCCCAAACCATTCCTTTCTCATTTGTTGTCTAAGAGGATAAGCACTCATACAGAAATGTCCAAAGTCATAAATGACTGGGCTTTAATAGAAGAAGCAGTGTCAGAGATCTCACAGATTATCAAGAAGAAAAAATACTCTTCACAGCAGCAATGTGGGTCATATGCAAGTTCAGTAAAAACGAATAAAATGGTACCTGAGATCTACTTCTCCTACTTCTGACCATCTATAACCTATCTTCTCTGCTTTAAATTCCTCCTGCCTCTGACTCCGATTTTGCATTGACCACCTGGGAGCCCAAACTAGGGTGAGGATCTGTTTTTGTTCTACAACTTTGAGACAAACACAGACTGAATTGGTGACTATGTCCATCAGATTGTGGTACATAGCAAGGGTATGTAACTATCAACTTTCTCAAACTATAATAGCCCTGGCTATACCAGGCTTCCTTACAGCGGAAAATCATAGCCATTGCATCAGTACTTTCAACAGACATGTGCTTTGCTCCAATGTTTCCAATTCTGCTACAATGTGTGCAACATTATGTATCCAGGCTCCGGCAAAGATTGCAGATTTCCTAAAGAACTTGTAAAAGTCCCATCCTCAAAAGTGTTCTCTGTTCAGCCATTTTCACACCACAGTGGTAAAGCAAAATAAAGAGAAGTATGGAAAGAAATTAGTCTTGAATATGGCTCTGGGGCATGGAGGTTTTCGGATCTGTTAAAATCTTCCAAGTGGATATTTACTTTATAATCAAACTAACTGTCCACTTCTGCCAAGAAACAGCGAAGAAGAATAGTGAACACGGACCTTCCCAATGGATGTAGCTTTATTGCCATGGACAAAGGAAAAGTACAAGTTTCATCACAAATATCAAGGCTGAGTCCAGCAGCTATTTAAGAATTCAAATGAATCGCACCCTGAGCGTAAGCAAGACATGCTAGAATAGATCCAGACACCTGACAGCCTTGGTTTAAGAATGACTGTGTATACAAAGGAACAGTAAAAGATAATGACATTGCCCAGAACAAGTAAATAATACGCTTTGTTAACTTGTACCGCAATACTTCTAAAGAGACCTGAAAAACCAGCAACTGCATATTAGAAATTTAATCACTGTGAATGAAGATGAAGAGGATAAAAAAAAAAAAAATCTTGAAATATTACTATGTAATATGTAGGAGACTATGAAGAACTGAAAAGAAAACCTGAGATGGAGTTGTAGAAAACAAGCCTGGAGACAACAGTCTGTAATGAACGAAATGATAATGGGACAAAATCAAAGGATGATCTCTAAAACTGAAAAGCAAAATTTAAGATATAAATTGTATAAAGCTAGTCAGCAATGGAGAACACTGCAAGAGTGTAGTTGAAATCGTTATAACATCTAGGGTGACATCAGCAAAGGAAAACAGGAAATGAACACATAAAACAAACAGCAGACGCCACAAACTAATAAACCTGTAATTTCTTGAGTTTCCCAACAGAAATAAGAACACTCAAAGAAGCTGTAGCAAGTTCTTGCTATCGAAAAGAATAAGTATTTATATGAGCTATTACATTTACAAAATATTGCTGCATTCTTCAAGCAAAAACATCTTTAACAAACCATCCAAAATGAGGCAGTATTGAACTAAGTTCATTTCACCTCTTTAAAAGAAGGGGAAAAACCTCTACCCATTCCTTTTTGAGAGGAAAACACTTGCAGTCTTAACTCTTGCCATATTTGACAGTGAAACAAAACCTAATTTAATCTTCATTTTACTGTAGTTTAGCGTAGTATCCTGGAGAGAGGGCTGGTCTCCAGAAAGCACCTGAGCCAGTACCAGAACACAGAATCCAAGTCAATGTTTTTCAGAGGAGAAACCTATGGTATCATCTTTCAGTAATGTTGCAAAAAAAAGTCATTAGAGCCTTCTAAACTATATGATCTGCCATCAAAAGAAACTTGTAATACTATCAAACACATCCTCAGGCCAGTTGTATGCTTGTATTTATGAATTTGCAAGTATTCCCATGCTTTCAGAGCACAAGGTGCCTTTACAGATCTGAAAATCTCCTCACGTATACCAAGAAAAACTCAATGACCAGCAAAATCCACTGCAAATTATAAACTAAGAACAGTCAATGCAAGTGCGTATTTTGCAATTTCCCCATCAAATATTTTTTAGAAAAGTAAGATGTCTTAAGTAGA